CACCAAGGAAGCAACGCAATCCACTCGGAGATCTTTTCCTAAGCGGGGCACTACAACTGACTATCTGCAGGGCAGTAGTACTTCACGGTGCTCGAGGTGAAAAGGTGGCAGCAGATACAGATACATGACTGCGCACAAGGCAAGGTAAGCATGACAATTCACACCCCCCTCGACGCGAGTCAAGATAGGAGCGGAGTTAAAAGGTCATGATACCGTAGGCTTCGCCCTGTGTCCCGGAATAACGAGGAAAGATACCCAGCCAATCTTAAAAGGTCGTATGAGGGGAACCATCGTTATCCAGGAGAGTCAGGTAACTGCACGTAAAAGCTGACACGGCACTACACCTAAAGCTCAGCGCCATATACATTACATTAAGAAACTTAACACGGACAACCTCACGGCACAACACGGTAGAACAAAAGACCTCACGGATATGTACAAGCCTCACTATCTCAGCCTGTCTTCATGAGGCGGCACGAGGAATCATCCGATCTGCCCATGGCTGCGCGGAGGCGACCATGGCTCAGCAGCGCACTGTACTATGACATCAGCGCGCTGGCGGCGTCCTTGTCCGATCGCGCGCCTCTGCGCCTTTGCCGCCGCCATCACCACGTCCTTTCTTCCCTTTTCCAGCATCCTTTCCACGTCCACGGCCCTTGTTCCCTTTTTCGCGCCCTCGCCTCTGCTGCTCCAGCATCTCATAGAGCTCAGGGGCTTCGGGAGCAGGAGGAACTGGCGGAGGCGCAGGAAGGTCCAGAAATCCAGGCGCTGGTTCTCGTCTCTCCAGTCGGACTCTGCCTTGATCATCTCTGTATCGAGCAATGTAGCTGCACAAACACGCTCATGTTTGGACTAGCAGCAACAGTAAGGCAAGGCGAAGCAGGCAAAGGCGCAGAACACGGTGCAACAGCAGGGGCCAACGCACCAAGCGGGTTCAGCGACATTTCGCCAGCTATGAGCTGCGCAGCTGCAGGTGCAAGCTGCATGCTGTTCTGTCCTGAGGGTAAGGGCGGGGCAAGCGCGCGCGGAACAGTGCAAGGCTGAGCAAGCGGTGCGACTGACGCGGTCCCATGTGTACTTCCATCAAGCGTACCTGAGTTCTGCTCACGTAACCTGTGCTCGGCAATCAAGGCATCAAGCTGATCGTCAGCAGACACGGCAACGGACGGAAGCTCGGTAGTCATCACGGTACAACAGCTGTCTTCTCAACTCAAGTCCGGGGCACCACGGTTTGCCAGGATAACTCGGGATCCGACAACACAAGGCGATGCAACCAAGACACGGGACAAGCAAGCAAGCAACACGCAAGTACAAGCCCAACCGCAGCACAGAGGCTACGGCTGATAACCTGTGAATTGACACAGGACAATCCCAAGTCAACGATCACAAAGCTACAGTGGCCGTGCTGGGTGGACAAGTACAGACGCGGTATGCTAGCTAGGCAGAGCAACCCCAGAAGCAGAACCTAACCGTGCACCAAGGAAGCAACGCAATCCACTTGGAGATTTTTTCCTAAGCGGGGCGCTACAACTGACTATCTGCAGGGCAGTAGTACTTCATGGTGCTCGAGGTGAAAAGGTGGCAGCAGATACAGATACATGCCTGCGCACAAGGCAAGGTAAGCATGACAATTCACAGATACTATTCCCTATGAAAATCGCAATTTAGGGTGAGGTCGGGTGAGGTCGCTTCAAATTGACAGGGCATTATTCAGGAAACCCGAAGCTCTAAACTGTTTGCTAGGTGAGGCGGACCAAACATGGGTCAGATCTCAACCCTAACCCCCAAGCCCCGAACCCCTAAACCCAAAACCCCTAAAACCTAAACATCGGAATCCTAAACGCCTTAACCTAAACCCCAAGCCCTAATAGGTACAAGGTTTTCTTGATACAAGTGCCTGGTTGGAGGATGAAGGGTGGGCTTCTTAGTTTAGGGCCCATAGGGTCTAGGACGACCGTTTAGGGCTTAGGGTTTGGGGTCTAGGGTTTAGGGCTTAGCTTGTTTGCTGTCAAGAAACTTAGAAATGAGGTTTCCTTGTATAGTCGCTTAACATCAAATTCCTTAGCAGCAACCCATTTAGTGTTTCCTTTAATCAAGCCCTAAACCCTTAAAACCCTTAAAACCCTTAAAACCCTTAAAACCCTTAAAACCCTTAAAACCCTTAAAACCCTTAAACCTTTGAAACCCTGGATTGGAGGGCCTGCCACTTGAGTTCGTAAAGGGCATGAAGTTTCCGGTAGAACTTGCTCGCACTGCGCTTTGAGTCGTCATTAGGCACGGCGCACCCAAAAAAAACACATGAAGATTCAGGCTTTCCTCCCAAGCTACATCTGCAGCAGCAGCTGTTGGATTGCTGTTCACTTCCGCAGCACTTCCAGCAGCAGCGATAGAATCAGCGCCAACGAGGCCCAACGCCGGCTTGAAGTCTTCAACAGCGCGCAAAATTCAGACACAAGGCTTGTCTCGAATTATATTAGGAGTGAAAATGACGATTATCAGTATTACTATATATTATTTCTATTAAATACTATCATCACTATTATAAGCTTGATTAAGGTTTTTGGTACTTGCCGGGTCTAGAGCTCTGGGACTACTGTTGGGGCCTGTTTCGTGTCTCTGCCCTATCCGAAAAAATCACCCCAGACCCTAAACCCTCAACTGCCTGGAAGCGATCTCACAACAAAAGCTCTGCCGCGAATCCCATCACCTAAGCCCGAGCATCAAAGCCTAAACTTAGACTCACGGGGTTGTGGGGTTTAGCCGTCTATAGGGTTGTAGGGTGTACTGTTGAGGTTTCAGAGTCTGAGCCCTAAACCCTAAACCCTTCTGTGGGAATTGAATGTGCAGGCCTATGCAACCCGAACAGGTCTTCAGGATCCCTTTTACTAGCCCACATTTTTGGGGCTTCCCAAAAATTATGGGTACCTTCAAAGGGAGTATACGGGGAGAGATAGGGTTTAGGGTTCAGGGTTTCCCAAAAATGGCGGTTTAGGGTGTACCAAAAATGAAAATGTTTTTCTTTTTTTATACATTTTATTTTTGGTGGTGGCACCCATCATAAGGATTGTCATCTTTTGGAGTTCATATTAAGGTCCCCTATTTTTTCGGAAACTACAATATACGCAAAAATCTAAACTCCTAGTATCCCCCTTAATATTACATATACAACAATCCTATATACTCCTCTATATAACACCCTTTAAGGAAGTAAAAGCTTAACCCTAAATCCTAAACCCGAACCCCTAAATCCTAAATCCCTGTATATAATCCCCAATATTGAATCCGCTATATAACACCCTTTAAGGAGTGTAGACCATAGCGCATATGAGTAGCATTTTTTTGGTGGTTGAACCTAGTAAGATAATATTCCTTATATAAAATGCTAGACCCCAAAGGGAGGATATAATCTTACTCTATATTGGGTACCATAGTATTATTATTCACGGACTTCTGTCGGGCGATCAAGCGTTTTAGCACCGGGGCTCTTGCCCGGGCCTTTGAGTGGAAAGAGTATCTTTTCGATACTGGCACAAAACTACCTGGGGCCTCTTCCCCGGCCACTGCGTCCTGCAGTGCCGGATGAAGGCGGCTGGCCCGGTCTGCGCACTGTTGTGCCCATTGCCTCACGAACCTCCAACCAAGTATTGAAGGTAGCAGCACCTTGTGAGGATTGGCTCTGTGCATCGGTACTTGAACTTCGATTGGCCATCTCCGACAAAAATTGAGGACACACTTCCACTCTCGGGCGCTGCTTGCCCGGAACAGTGCTAAGCAATCGAGTCATATCTGTATCGTCATTGGTCACCGTCTTGCGTTTCCCTTGCTCAGAGGTATCCATGAGTACAGAATCTTCACATGGTAACGTCGCTACTGCCTCCAATGCAGTAGCGACCCTGTCCACTGTAGGCTCAGAGGTGTTGGCCGCCGCCATAGCCTTAGCTCTCCGCCGCTGTCGCTTTGCCCTACGTTTGGCAATACGAGCCTCACGCAGTCGCAGCTCCAGATCTTCCTGGTTATCTGTCGGCACCAGGGCACCAGTGGGCCGTTCAGGGACCATAGCATTTGAAGCCGCTGCTGCGACAGGCTGCAAGAGAGCCGTCGTAACAGCTGCAGCAACAGCCGCAACGGTTCGCCTTGGGGCCTTCGACTGGCACGCGGCTTTAACCGCTGCGCTCAAAAGTGCAGCATGTGAAGCCATCGCGAGCTCCTATGACCAAGGTGCAAGGAAGCAAGTCCTGGGGAAAACCTACCTTGGTCAGCGGTCGCTTGAGCCTTTATTGGGTACCATAGTATCCTCAAATAAGATACTACTCATGTGGACATGGCATTCATGGGTACCCTAGTATCCCAAATAAAATACTACACAAATAACCCCTATATAACCCCAGTTTCCATTTCATTTTCCATTTTCTTTTCCATGTGATTCTCCACTATAGGG